CTTCGACACCCCCCAGGAGGCCTTCGGGGCCCTGCGCCCCGCCTGCGTCCGGCTGACCAAGGCCCCGACCGCGGAGAACGCGGAGCGCCTGGGCTCGCGGCTGCGCGCGGTCAGCGCCGCGGCCCTGCAGGAGCTGCAGGAGTACGTCCTCTTCCCGCTGCGGTTCACGCTCAAGGCGCCCGGGCCCAGGCGGGAGCGCGTGCTGCGCAGCGTGGCGCGGAGCCTCGCCTTCGTGCTCTCGGCGACGCGCGTGACGAAGGCGGACCTGCTGCTGGAGCTGCTCTCGGAGCTCTGCGTGTGCCTGGCGCCCCCCGCCAGCCCCCCGCGGCCCGCGCCCTGGTCGGAGGAACTGAAGCGCGAGCTGGCCGAGGCGCTGCTGGCCCTGCTGCGCTCCGCCGGCGGAGAGGCTGTGCCGGCGCTCTACCGGCCCGCCGCCCTTCCCCAGCTGGGCTTCGCGGTGTCCCTGCTCTTGGCGCTCGCGGAGCAGGAGAAAGCCCGGCAGGTTAAGATGGCCGCCCTGCAGTGCCTGCGGGCTCTCGTCTTGCAGGGTGACTGCCCGGAGCCCCACCGGTCCCTGGACAGGGCGGAGACGAGGCGGCGTGGGGATCTCTTTGCGTCCTTCCTCCCTGGCATCTCCGTCGCTCTCTCCAGGATTATCACGGGAGATGCGAAGCAAGGCCAGGCCGTCACTGTCTCGGCCATCGAGCTCTTCTCTAGGGCTGTCGGTCTGGTGATGGCGGATGAACAGCTAGCGCAGGTCCCTCCGGAGAAGGAGACGCCAGTCTTGGAACAGAGTAAAATATTGGAACTCATGGTCCACCGAGGCCCAGACTGGACAAGAAACACTGCAGCCAAACTCTCCATCCTTATCAAGAAGGTGGTTGGATTTGTGTCTGTTCATCCCCACTGGAAGGTGCGACAGGCGCTGGTGGAAATGGCTCAACTCCTCATGACAAAATGTGGGCGGTCTTTGGTGGACTCCGCTGGCCAGTTGTTAAAAGCCTTAGTTGGCCTCGTAAATGACGAGAGCCCTGAGGTCCAGCATCAGAGCGAGAGGGTGCTGCAGGATATTGCGGCACAGGAGAGAGTGGCTGGGAATAGGCTCCTTGCTGACGTGCTGTCCGAGGATCTTCACTCTCTCGCCACTGCTCTTCCCCGTTTAATGAACTCCCAGAATGACCAGGGCAAGATGGCTACCTTAAACTTGGTCTACGGGTACTTGAAGCTCTTGGGGCCAAAGGTGAACATGGTTCTCAACTCTACCTCCCACCTTCAGCGTCTGTCCAAAGCATTGATGCAAATCCTGGAGCTGGATGTGAGGGATGTGAAGATTGTGGAGGAAAGGTGCTGCGCCCCAGAAGCTTTTCAGCAGCCCTCTCTGGGCAGTGTCCAGAGGAAGTACTTCCGATTCTTCACAGATGACCGAATTTTTTCCCTCCTGCGGCAGATTTGCCGGGCTCTAGGTAATTATGGGAACCTCTATTTGCTTGTAGATCATTTCATGGAACTATACAGAGAATCAACTGTGTATCGGAAGCAAGCTGCAATGGTTATCAATGAACTGATAGCTGGAGCCACAGGGTTGGAGGCCCAGGAAACTTTTCTGAACTCAGAGGATCTTATGGGGATCATAACTTCTGTACTAGAAGAATACGTGGACTCAGGAAATTGGCATTTGGTCACCAGCCTGGAAGCCCAGGAGTCCAGGGCTGAATCTGCAGTGGTGGATTCCAGATCTCTTGCTATTCCATATGGAGCACCTAACCAACCTCTTCTATCCTTGGATCCGGGCCCCACAGTCCGCTGTATGAATAGCAACATTTGGCAGATCTGCATCCAACTGGAAGGGATTGGCAGCTTTGCCTCTGCCCTTGGAAAGGACTTCCATTTGCTGTTAATCTCGGCTTTGTACCCTGTTCTGGAAAAGGCAGGGGACAGGACGCTCCTGGTCAGCGAGACGGCAAAAGGGACCATGGTCAACATCTGCCAGGCCTGTGGATATGTCTCTGTCCCTGAGCTCATCAATCAGAATGCTGATTACTTGGTGAACGGGATCTCCTTGCACCTGAGGCACCCAGCCAGTGAGCCCCATGCCTTGCAGGTCCTGGAAGCCATGCTCCGACACTCAGATGCCAGGGTGGTACCATTGGTGGAGGACCTGGTTGAAGACGTTTTGGCCAGGCTGGATCAATGTCACAGTGAACGAGCATCTTCATTCCTGGGGGCTCTACGGACCCTGATGGCCTCACTAGGTAACTAAAGGCAGCAAATGAAGTGTCAAGAAGCGTTTTCTGACCTTCTGTGCTTCAGAATTTGCTGGTTGTGCTTGGCTACCAGTTTTGCCCTTACAGTAAACTTACGTGCCAGCCATCTCCAGCCCTGGTAGCCTCCAGATGCGTTGGAACTAAATTCCCGTGTTTCCCCAGCCAGTATGACTTTTAGCCATGCTGAAATCCACCACTTCTGGAGAGTATTGGGCGGGGGAGAGGGGCCAGCAGTAAGCCAATGCAGCAGTTTAGCCTGCTTTTATGTCTGGCTGGGTTTACAAGAGGCCAGGCCAGGTTAGGACAGCCAGTGTGGGGTAGTGATGAAGGCACCAGGCTACAAACCGGGAGACAGTTCTAGTTCCACCTTAGGAACGAAACCAGCTGGGTGACCCTGGGCCGTTCACTTTCTCTCAGCCCTAGGAAGGAGCCAGTGGCAAACCACTTCCAAAAAGCCTTGCCAAGAAAACTGCAGGGAGTAGTCCAGGCAGTCACCAGGAGTCAAAAACTGACTTGAAGGCCCTCCCCAAAATATCATGTCTCAGGAATCAGGTTATCACTTTACATCAGAACTTATTTTATTGGTTTGGGGATCGCATGTGATGCGAATGTAGCAATTGTGTTTTGTTAACTTGGGCTAAAGACTGTTCATTTGTTAAACCAATTTATATGGCTGCCCATCTTAACTAATAAAACTCTGGGCAGTGAACAGAGGGGTGTGACATTGCTGCTGTGTAAGCTGCCTTAGTTGCCAGTTGGCTTCCAAGTGCAATTCAAGATGCTGGTCATTACCTATAAAGCCCTACATGGCATAGAGCCTGGTTACTTGAGGGATTGGCTGTCTTCCAGTTGTTTCTACCTGCCTGGTATGTTTGGACCGGGGGAGGGGGGTACGCTCCAGGGCCCCTCAATTAACTGTTGTCTTGTGGGAGTGAGGAAGTGTGCTTTCTCTGTCGCAGCCCCTGCCCTCTGGAACAACATCACTCCTCACCTGGGTGAGGTCATCCGCTGATTTAGGCTTCCAAATCAACAGTACGATGATACCCGATTATATCTTTCAACCAGGCCAGCTGAATGAGGCTGTTGAGGTTCTGTCCCAGGGCCTGGAGGCTATGCGGGTTTCAAAGGGGAGGACCCATCTCCAACTCAGTCCTCCCAAGACTGAGTGGCTGTGGGTGCTTGGACTGCTTGGATCTGGGGATATTCCATCCTTGACCTTGAACAGGATGGCACTTCCCCATTCAAGGATGGGATGCAGTTTGTGGGTCTTGTGGACTCACAGCTCCTGGTTGATGAGCAGGTGGCAGCCGTAGCCAGGAAGAGCTGCGATCAGGAAGAGCTGCATGGTTTTATTGGGTGCGCAAGTTGTGCCCTTGCCCAGATCAGGGACCCTTCAGACGGTCACTCAAGCTCTGGTCACCTCACAGTTTGACTACTGCTATGGTCTCAAGATGGGCTACCCTTGAAAACCACCCAGAAGCTGAAACTGGTCCAGAATGCAGCTGCGTGGGCAGTGATGGGCATGCCTCAGTATGCCCTTGTAACACCTCTGCTTCGTGAGCTCCACTGGTTGCCAGTTTGCTTCCAGGTACGATTTAAGGTGCTGGTCAGTACCTATAAAGCCCTACATAGCATAGGGCCTGGTTACTTGAGGGACCGCCTGCCTCCCATAGTATTTGCCCAGCTGATTCAATCCTGCAGGATTGGCATGCTCCGGGCTCTCTCAGTTAAGCACAGCCATCTGTCAGTACCCCAGAAGTGCACCTTCTCTGTAGCAGTGCCTTCCCTCTGGAATGAGATTCCCCCATGATTCGAACAGTCCCACCCTGCCGGTGTGTCAAAGGGCCCTGAAGACCTGGCTCTTTGCCCAGGCCTTTGGCAAGGGGGATTGAAGCCTCCTTTTCTTCTTTTTCTTTGTTCCCATCTGGGTTTGTCATCTCTCCCATCTCTGTTCTTTTTTTGTGTAGTTTTCTTAAATGTTTTAATGACTTGTAAACTGCCCAGAGTCACTGGGAATCAGATGACATATACAGTTGTTATTACCGCTACCGTTGTTGTTATCATCTGCAGGAGAGCAGAAAGCAAGCAGCTGCTAACTACAAGCTTCAGGCTAAGTGTCTGTGTCTGGGTGTGTATCAGCATCAGCCTCAAACCTTGCGTCTCCTTGTCCAACCTGTGGGTCCTGGTGGCCTGAGAGCAGGTGGTTTCCCAGCAGAGAGACTGGACAACTAACTCTGCATCTATTCTGATACAGCTGTCTTTGTTCGCCCTGTTTATATGCGGCCTCGGTCCTTGTAACCCTCACACAAGAATGATGTTCAGGGTGGTTTTTATCACCAATCTATCTAGGGGCCAAGCTTGAGCTTTTGAAGCAGGAGCTAATTGAATTGAGTGAATTTCCTTCCGTTTGCAGCTTTACTCTCATAGCTGCAGGGAAGGCAAAGAGCAGTTGTATCTTGCCTCACTGAGGAAGAAAAGAAGAGGCACAGCTTCCCTGAACTTAATCTGTTTTCACCAGCAGTTGGTTTTAAATTCTTGCTGCTCTCCATTCCATCTTTGATCTAGGAGGCCCAACTGCGTTTTCCTCCTTTTGGCAGGTTCCTGGTTTGGGCTGGAGCAGCAAACCCAGAAGAAACCAGAAGGTGGTTCTTCCTGCCCAGAGGCACGGAGACCTGTCAACCTGCCCACTGCAGCACAAATGGAAGAGTTCTTTTTGGCATACGTTAAGCAGAAGCGGATTGCAGAGGGGGATATTGAGGATGAGGAAGCGGAGGAGGAAGGTTAGTGCAGCCTCAAAATGCCCTGGTCTGTGGCTGGACAGTAGGACGGGCAGCTCTCACCCATGGAGTGGCTGAATAAGCACTTTGTCTCAACACACACAGCTGCTAGGCTGACTTCCTGGCTCTGTGGAGAGCTGGCAAAGCTTGTTTCTCTTTCGCCCCCCTTTGGGCCCTGGACCATGCCCACAGCTGTGCCCTCTTGCTTCTCCAGAGGAGCCTGCTATGCAGCCCGAAGTGACAGAACAGCCTCTGGAGGCAGAGAGCCCGTTGCCCTTGCAGGCCAAGATGGCTAAAGACGTAATGGAGAGGAGCACACACTTACTCCCCAGCAAGAGCCTTGCAGTTCGACTGAAGGTAAGGGCAGCCATGCCATCAATGCAACCCACCATTCTCTGGTGCTCCAAGGGCCCTGCCCCCCAGGGGAGGCAGCCTCTCCTTGCTTTGGCTGGTGCAAGGTGGCCTCTTCCTCTAACCGCCCTGGCTCAGTTTTCTAAGATTTGCTCCAAAGCCCAGACCCGAGTGGCGTGCTCTTGTGCGGCTTGGCCCAGGAGAAGAGAGAGTCTTGAGCAGAACCCCAAAGCTTCCCTTATCCCAAGCCTAGTTCGCCTGGCCTTAGGAAATGAAGCCCCTTCTAGAGCTTTGTTCACCTTTTACTGCTGCAAAAGGCTCTTGTTGAACTGGGCCTGGAGCTGGAGGAGGACAGTTGGCTGCTCCGTGTGTTGCACTAAGACATAATATGGCTGTCTTCCTTCTTGCTTGGTCTTTGCTTAAACCTGTTACCGTCCAAAGGGGCCAAGCACGTTTTTAATCAGAGACTCGGTCCTCCGATTCTCCAACATCACCACTAGCCCTTTTTAACTCTAGCATATTTATCCTCTGACTCTGAGACGTCTCCTGCTAGGTCCTCGATGTTCTCGAACTCTCTGTGATGGTGCTTGGGTCACATGAAAACGTGCTTCTTCCATTGGTTCATCAGGCCTGGCCTGCTCTCGTCTGCCGCTTGACTAACGATGACCCCTTGGCTGTCCTCAGAGCCTTCAAGGTAATCCTGGTTAAGGCCCCTCCCCACCTATGTCCCAGCCCCTGATCCAAGAGAAGACCTCAGTCTCAGGACAGCCAGAATCGCCTTTGTCCTGCTTGAGGCACAACTACCAGCTTTCCCTGCTAGTGATGGGGATGGAACAGTGGGGCTGAATGGCTGTCTTGGGAATCCCAGGCGTATTTGGCTGGGGCACCTGCTTTCTCTCTGTCCACCAGTTTTCCAGTCTTAACTGGCTGGATTCTTATACTGGAGAGAAAGAAAGAAAATAAATGCTTCCAGCAAAGTTCACCTGTGATTTCTAATGCCACAAATGGACAAAACTGTTGGTGAAACTTCTAAAAAAGGCACCAAAGTACCACAAATCCTGTGCAGCTGGAGATGAGTTCTATAGTGTGTAAGCAGTTTTGCAAACACAGCATGTTTCTTGTCTTTGCATCCCACCTTTTCTGCTACACATTGCTGTAGAGCAAGGCTCTCTAAGGAGTTCACGGTAAAACTGTGAGCAAAGTAAGAACAAGGTGTTAAATGTCTTAGAAATCTCAGGAAGAAAAGTTTTCCCAAGCACCCGAAAGCTAGTTGGAATTACATCAGGTGCCTTGCCCTTCACAAGCGTATGACAGCTCTGTTGGAGGGCACCTTTCCCAAACTGGAGCCAGTGATGGGGCTTGTAGCCCCAACAGATCTGGAGGCCACCTGATTGAAGAGCATTTGTTTGGACCTTTGCTTTTTACTTTCAGAAACAGCCTTCCATTTTTTTAGGAAAAAGCTTGGTGGCAGAACAGAGTAAAGTAAATGTTAGCCCAGTCCTAGACAGACTTACACCTTGGTAAGTGTATGCAGATGGCCAGCTGTCTGACCAAAAGGAAATTTAGATAGTGCGGCCTACTAAATAAAGGCCTGCCACAGCCCCCTCTTCCCATTTGCTTGGTAGCCCCCTGCAGAGCCCTCTCCTTGTTCTGGCAGCATTTTCATTTAGGAAGATGGCGCCTGGGTTTCTGGTTCTGAGGTCCAGGCCTAGAATTGTCCTCCAAAGAGCTTTGAAGTGTAAATGGCTTGGCTGATTACGCTGAAAGCAAGAGCAGCTCAGCTTGCCTTGCCTGGTCAGCCTCTTAGCTTAATGCCAGGGTGGCTCATGGACAGATCGAATGGCCCAGAGAGCATTTCAAGTGGGGAGAGGAGAATTCATTATGGAGAAACAGTCACCTTCAAGGATTGGGGGATAAGCTTTCAAAGCCAGTAGAGAAATGCAAATCCCGTTGAAGGCGGCTTCCTTTTCAGAACAGCGGAAGGTGAGAGAGAACAGCTGACTATGGCAGGTCTTGAACTCTGTGCCCAACAGAGGACCTGGACTTGCACAAAGGCAGCAGACCTTGGCTGGAGCCAAGACGGCTGGCTGGCTGAAGCTGCTGGTTTGCTTGCTTGCTAAGCAGATGGCCACTCTGAACCTGGTGGGGCTCCTTTGATGAGTATGGGAAGCAGGGCTCAGTTTAGCCCCGATGTGTGAAAGGTGCTAGGGAACTGTAAGGTGTCCGGTCTGTGGGAGGGGAGGGCTAATCTTCCCCAGGAAGCGTGTCTGAGGGAGGAGCTCTTACCCAGCTTTGAGGCTCAGGCAAGAGACCTCCTCTGGCTGAAGTGCTGGAAGGGGCTGCATTCACCACAGGGGCTTCTGCTCAGAAGCTTAGCATCTCGTGAATGCAGCTGTGGGAAGACGTGACATTTTCTGTTCTCTGGGTAGAACCCACTCCTGCATTTTGAGCCTGGATAGGGGGCATTGTGGTGGGTGCTGAGTCCACCAGGCACCTCCAAGGCATGGTGCCACGACATGAGAAGAAGTGTTGCTGGAGAGCAAATGCCCCATCGTATCATGTAGTTGCAACTCAGCTGTAAACTGGGGCCACCGAGAAATCAGAGGGAGGCTCCTGCAGGATTGAAGGGACTTTTGCTGAAGTAGAAAACGTGTTGGGGTGGGGGAAGACGCTTCCCCATCCGCAAGGAGGAATGAACCTGGGGGAACAGGGAGGTGAATCGCAGAGCCCTGGAAAAAGGCAGGGTGACCTGGGCCCCGGAGAGCTCTCGTGGGTCCCGCCTCTGAGGATGAGTGACCATCCGGTGTGCTTCTTGGCAGGTGCTGTGCACTTTGGGAGCCTGCAGTGGGGATTTCCTAAGGCACCGTTTCTCCAAAGACGTCTTGCCAAAGCTGGCTGCCTCCCTTGTTGCCCAAGCATCGGGCAGCGCCCATGCTGGGCCCGTTTACAGCCACACCCTGGCCTTCAAACTGCAGCTGGCTGTGCTCCAGGGCCTCGGATCACTCTGCCAAGCTCTGGATCTTGGTGAGTACCAGGAGGGACGCAGTGCTCCTAGTATTGTTCCATGCTGAGATTTCTGGCCTGCATAGTTCATGCTGTTGGTTTAGGGGAGGGCAGGCCAAAATGATCACCATGTCAGTTTTTGACAGGTTCTATGCTGGCGTCACCTTGGCTGAGCTGCTGTGCCATAAATTCTGCCCTCTCAGTTCCTCTTCCCTGAACTTGCCTAGCAACACTCCTCTTCTGCTGCTACCTTTCTGCCAGAGAAGGGCTGGCAGAGGCAGGATGGGTGGGCTGAATATATAAATGTATTATGTATAGCACTAATGCTGGTCCAACTCTTTCTTTGTTCCTTTATCAAGTGCACATACTGCCAAGTCCTGGGGAATCCAGCCCGTGCTGGCAAAGCCACTAGTTGACTCGGAGGAGGGCCTGGCTTCTGCCATGACCCTCCCTGCAGCTCTGCTGCTGGCCAAGGCCTGGCCTGCCCAATTCACAGCCAAGGCCTGGCCTGGCATGCCTCTGGTGGGGGCAGGTGCAAGGGGGCTGTGGCTGAGTGAGCCCCCTCCTCTGAGCTGCCCATCTTGCTGTTTCTGCAGGCGAGAATGACCTGAATACAGCAGTGGATGCCTGCCTGCTCTACCTCAGTGCCAGGCAGCCTGGGAGACTGCAAGAAGCTGCTCGCAGGTAAGGCAGGTGCGCCCACAGGCTGCAGAGCCTCAAGGCTGCTGCAGGAGCAGGTGTTCAGTCTGTCCTGGGTTGCAGTTCACTCTCTCGCCCAGTGTTTCTCAACCTTGGGAACTTTAAGATGTGCGCACTTCAACTTCCAGAATTCCTCATGGCTGGCTGGGGGATTCTGGGAGTTGAAGTGCGCACATCTTAAAGGTTGGGAAACACTGCTCTAGCTTCTTGAGTCCCACTCTCACTCAGGGTTGTCTGGTCACTGGAGGCCCTTGCAGACCTGTCTCTAGATCAAAAAGCGTTGCGTGGCACTGTTGTTCCAGAGTGCTCAGGCAAGTAATTCAAGGTGTAGTGCAGGCAGGGGAGAAACAAACAAATTCCATAGACCCAGATGAGCTGGCAGCAAAGCCATCACACAAAATCAGTGTGTTGGCTGGGGATGATGGGTGGATGGAGGCATGAAACTGATAGTGGAACCCTCATAGCCAGAAGTAGTCTGTTGTTGAGTGATGCCCAGGATGAGCCGCCTGCCCCGTCTTCTCCAGGTCAGGGTCCGCTTAGCAGAAGGCATTCCCTGGCAAGTGCTGCCTGATTCTTACGGCTGGAGATTGTTTTCCACTTTTTTCTCGTGTGGAATCTGCGAGCTACTTGCTGCTGCAGCTTTTTGGCGGTCTCCTCAGGCACTTCTGGGAGCTTCCACAGAAGTCTTTCTGGATGCCAACACAGGATAGTGCAAACCCATTCCTTCTGATCTAGCAGAAGCGTGCTGATGGTCTTGCAACTGAGCTTTTAGACCTTTTTAGAATGTGAACTTCATCAAGCCTCCTTGCTTCCCGCAGTTTCTACTGCCCATTTAAAAAGGCCCTCCTTTCTTGTGTTCATGACTTTCCTGTTAACCCACTCACCAAAACAGCTCGTAGCACAAATTCTCCAAGAAGTTTGGTCTGGTTTCCGTTGCTGCCCTAATCTGGCTCAGTGAAACTGCTTCTCTTACGGAAGAAGGAGTGTGCCCCAGGACCCATCCGAAGGAGAGAACTGTGCCAGGTGACCATTGTCCTGCCAGGCAGCTTGATCCCCTCGGGGCTGGGGAGACATTGGGGTGCAGCAGCCCTTGCCCACCCACAGTCGCCTCCCTGTTCAGTTGGGGCCAGTTTTAGTCTTGGCAGTTGTGAGCGGGCTGCAGCACACTGCTAAGCAAACGCCAGCTAAAATCAATAACCCCTCACTGAACAAAGCAGATGCTACCAGAAGTGCACTCTGAGTTAACCCTGGAATCCTTTGCCATGGAAACACAGGTTGCTTGGAAACTGCCAGAGTAATTTTTTTCAGAAATAAAACAACCAAGCCAACATTCTCTTTAAGCTTCAGACTCTTCCAAGCTGTTGAAAGAACAGTTGGTCTCTGATCCCTGCAAGCCCTCAGCCCCTCCTTGGCAGGGCTGCGTCTCATTCCTCTGGACCAGAAGGCAGGCGGGGGCAGGATTGGAAACACGGAGTGAGGCCAATGCGTGAACCTCAATGGCTGTTTGGTGCAGGCTGCTTCCATGTGTCCCCAGATGGTTTTCTTTGTTTTGTCAGCCTAGCATCGAGTTCCCCTGGGAGATAAGCGGTCGGTGGGCCAGGCTGAAGGGGCTGGGCTAGGCTGAAATGGCCCGTCTTCCCCAGGTGGCATAGCAGGCAGGAGACCCTACAGTAGAGCAACATGCAGGCTAGGCCCTCTCCAGAATGATGGGGTCTCTGCTAAGAAACTCTGAGAACTGCAGCCCATCTCAGCTGGGGAACCTCAGCATGGGGAACTGGCCCAAAGGCTCCCCTGGTTGAGGGGGGCCCTGAACCTGGGTCTCCCCACCCCTACTCCAGCCCCTTCACCTCTATCCCACCCTGGCTCTGGGGCTGAGAGGGAGGGGCTGGCTTAAAATCTCCCAGGGGGCTTCCATACTGGGGGGGGGGGACCAAAAACTGGATCTCCCTGCTCTCGGTCCAGCATGTTCCCCACTGCACCACAGTGGCTCTCAGAGAAGCCTTTTCTGGGTGGGCTGCTGCCCCACAGCAGTCAAGAGGTTGCACTCATTGGAGAAGCCTATTTGCTTTATCTCTTGTAGGGTCACAGTCAGCAGAAAATAGTTGGCAGGATGGAAGATCCATGAATGGTTCATGCGAAGGACATCCATCTTCTAGGACAGTGTTTCTCAATCTTGGCAGCATTCAGGTGTGTGGACTTCAACTCCCAGAATTCTCATCAAAGGCCAAGCTGGCTGGGGAATTCTGGGATTTGAAGTCCTCGCATCTTCAAGCTGCCAAGGTTGAGAAACACTGCTCCAAGTACAGAATCCTAGTCTCGTCTGTTGGGGTCAGAGCCCTGACCCATAAGGAGGTGGGGGCCTGGCTTTTGCGGTTCAGGAACCGACATTTTGTTGACCGGGCTGCTGCTTCAGCAACTGATAGTTCTTGCAGCCTCTGTTTGCATCTTCTGTAGAAGCCAAGGGAGAAGGCCCCTGCCGTCCTGGTTCCAGCTTAATCCATTGGAACTCAGCACAGGGAGACTTGAGGTCCCGAAAAGGACGGTCTTCTGTACCCAGTGCAAGTTAAATCGTAAAATTAGACTCCATCCAAGCGTGCGGGTGCTGATTGCTTGAGTGGCTGGCTCTAAAGAGGGACAGAACAAATTTCGGGGGAGGACCAGGGGTCTCTTAGATTTGATGGTGCTCTGCTGCCTCCAGAATCCCAGGTGGTGCGTCTTGAACGCCAGCGGCTGGGGAGCAGCAGTGAAGGAGGGAAAGAACCCCCCTGTCCGCAGATGGGAGCTCCCCAGCCGCACCTGGCTAGCCCCTGCGTGGCCCAGAAATTGGGCCAGAGGACTCAGGGCTGATCCAACCTCGGGGCTCTCCTTACATTCTACCTGCAGGAACTCTCGGGTACAGGCGCCTCCAGTGGGAAAGAACAAAGCCTGTTCTCAGCATTCGGAGCACAGCGGGTAGAATAAGGGCTTTACGTTGCAGGAATGAACATTAGAAAAAGTCAGAACAGTTCAGCAACGGAAGCTGTGACCCCAAGAGGAGGCGGGCTCCCTTCACTGGCTGTGTTCAAGCAGAGGCTGGACAGCCCTCTCTCTGGGTTGCTTTCAGGGGCAGGAGGGTGGGCTCCATGATCTCTTGGGCCCCTTCCAAGACCAGAAGTCGATACCTCCCTGAAAGGGTTCCCTGCCCCTCTAGGACTCTGGATGGCCAAGACGGCAAGGACTTTTCCTTGCCTGAGTTCCTGGGCAGATGCAGCCGGTCAGCACTGCAGGTCCAGGCCGGCTGGATAGTCTGTACAAGAGTCTTAGGTTCCACCAAATAACCTCTGAAAGGGAACGAGAAGGTGGGCTGCCGGAGGAGATGCCTTGCGGAGGTGCCTGGGGGAGAGAGAATGAAGTGGAGGGGCCAAACAATCAACAACCTGCCTGAACTCCTGCTGGCGTCGTGGGACCATTTGGCAGGTGGCCCCGAGACAAAACAGTGCAGCTAATTTTGTTTCTGTATCGGTTCAGTTTTAGTAGAAGTGGTGAATGGAAACTGGGCATGTTTCAAATGCTGAGCGTGGGCTTTCTACCCGGCGTGCGCTGAAGGGAGCCACGCAGCATGTAAGACGTGCAGGTATAAGAAATAGTCACGGTGAAGTTGGAGCCAGAGGAGAGTGGGACGGGGCTGAAGGCTGCACGTTCAGCACCGTGTGCCTAGATTACAAAGCAGCCCAGCCAGATTTGCATCTGACAACATCATTGATTGGGCTGCAGCAGCCTGACAGGAAACATCTTCCATGGTCCCAGTTGTCCAATCAAGGTTAGAAAAGGAAGGAGATCTATCTGGCAGGGTCACAAGATGCAGCCTGATTTAAAACAGGCATCCTAAGATACAGAGGTTGGGGGCGGGCGGGCGGGCTGGCTGGCTGGCTGGCTGGCTGGCTGGCTGGCTGGCTGGCTGGCTGGCTGGTTGATTGATTGATTGATCAATTGATCGATTGATTGATTGATTGATGATGTTCCATCCAGTCATTTCCGACTCCTAGCAACCACATGGATGGATTTTCTCCACGGCGATCTATCCCTCAGCTGGTTTTTCAGATCTTCCAACTGTGTTGGGGGCTGGGGGCAGCCCTGTTTAAGAGAAAAGTTGGCGATGTAAACCTCAGCTTGTTTTGCCATGGCGGCATTAGGTGGTAGCACCCTGCACCCACTTTATAAAACACCCTTCCTCTAAAGCAAGAAATCTATCAGGCGCTGCGTGGTTTGAAAACACTTCACTTCCCTGCCAGAGCAGCTCTTTTCTCCACTTCTTCTGTTTCCAGGCTGAGAGAGGATCGGAAAAGGGCAGGAACCTTGAAGAACACACAGAGTTTGTTCTCTAAACCCGAGCATTGTGTATTGGTGCAGTGCTTTTTAGTGGGTTGTGCTTATTTCTCTTGTGGTGTGGCCTTAGCAAACTGCTCGATTTATATGCATTTGTATACATAGAGGGTTTTGACTGTCTCCCTTAGTCCTTCTCTAATTTATACACTTCTCACTACACTAATATGCTCACTCATTTATGGCAGCTTAGTACTTTCTTTTCACCTAGAGAGGAGGAGGAGAAGAGGGATAACAACTGTTTCCTGAGCCTCCTCAGCCTCCTCCCAGCCTCCTTCCAGCCCCTCAGTCAAATTCTTGCTTGCTCTTCCTGGTCTATCCTTCCCAAATGTTTCAATCCTGCCCCTGCCCCTGCCCCCCGGCCAGTTCTGATCTTGCTTGCTCCTGCTGGGTCTTCACTGGCAGATTCCTCCTCCCTCCAAGGATCTTCCCTCCAACTCTCTGCCTGCTTCTCCCAATGGCTGCCATCCTGCTCCTCCAGTCCACACAGTGCAGACCCATCAACAATGTCCTCTGTTGTCTAGCAGATCTGCTCTTTCATATATTTTCACCAGAAGGTGGACATGCCTACTCACAAGTTCTTTGTGACTCTTTGTGTGGACCTGGGGGCGTGGGGTGGACCTGGAGACAGTAAATATTGCTCCCATGTTCAAGAAAGGGGAAAAGATGGGTCCAAGAAACTATGGATTGTTCAGTTTAGTGTTGCTACCAATAAGGATTATAGATCAGGTAGTTATGAAATCAATAGTGTTTTGATTTGCTAAGACACCCATGCGGTCAGAGTTAAGGTGTGCCAAATGAACCTCATCTCACTTTTTAATAGAGTGCCTAGTGATCATGAGAATGCAATAAACATAGTATATCGATTTCAGCAAAGCATTTGACATTCATTATATCTTCATTAGCCAGAGGATAAAATGTTGCTTGGATGCTACCACCCTTAGGTGGATCAGGAACCAATACCAGTGTCTTTGAGAGCATTAGGGAGGTTTCAGGTGTATCACTGTCCTAGGTTCTTCCAAGGTTTCATGGAAGATCCAGGCTGCTTATCAAATCTCGAAATGAGATAAAGCAGACACGATAGAAGATTGAAACACAATTCAGAAAGGTCTTGACGGCAAGGTGAGATGAACCAGAGATCAGCGTAAAGTCTTGTGTTTGGGTACAAGAACTCCAAGACACCCCGTATAAGATGGGGCAAGCAGGACATGTGGAAAGGTTCCAGGGCCTTCAGGGATGGCAAGGGCAGTAGGAACTAGGACCACGATGCAGTTGGAAGAGAAACCAAAGCAAGGATGGGCATAATTATGTCACAGAAACAGTGAGAGGCATGTTAGGTGCTTTGGGAATCTTGTCTTTGCTTTTAATGGAGGTCGTCCAGTTGGAGTGAGTGCTGAGGAGGTGGGAAGTGACCTGAAAACTAGATCCTGGGGGGGAGTTGAAAAGGGTGGTGTTTTCAGCCCAGAGAAGAGAAGAGTTTCAGGGGAGCACGGCAACAGTCTTTAAGTACATGTCCGAGGGCCATCGTGCATCGGTGGGGCAGAGCGCTTCTCAGGGCTCCAGGCTGGAACCGGTGGGTTGAGATGGCAGGAAAACAGATTCCGGCCGAGCGTTAGGTGAAGCAGCGCAACGGGGACCGCTTGGGAAAGACGGCTCGTGGGATTCCCACGCAGGAGACCCCTCGCCCCCGGCACTGAAAGGAGCTTGATGGCTTGCCGGTTCAGCTGCTGTGCTCCACTGCCTCCAAAAAGTATCTTGTGCATCAGGGAGGAAAGCCAAAGGTGAGGAATTGAAGCCAAAATCAATATTCCTTAAGCCGCCAGGCGTTGTTTGCGTGCACACACACACACACACACACGTGGGTGAATGGATAACCCATTTTGGGGGTTCAAATAATACACTGACTCACAGACTTAATGACATGCACTGGATTTGAACAATACATGGAACCACACAAAAAATTAATCTGTCTCAGCACGTTTGGGGAACACAGTCTGAGTCCAGGCGGCCAGAAAGGGGGATTCCCCAAGCATTGGGGGTGGGCCCTGGCTCTTCTTGCAAGCCACAGCCCTTCGGCCTGCATCTTCTCCCTCCTCCTGCTTTTGCAGCGTTTTCCTCCACCTGATGGAGGTCGATCCGGATGCCATCTGGCTCTTCCTCTGCAACGTCTGGTGCCCCTGGAACTTGGAGGCCCCCCACCCCAGCCTGCACCCTGTGAAACTGGGGGGGAGCGAGAAGACGCGGAACGAGTTCACGGACAACGTGCAGCGCCTCTTGGAAGAGCTGTGCGGCTGAGGGAGAGGGAGCGGCCCCTGGCACCGTGCTTGAACTGTGGAGGTAGGCTTGCCAAGGGCTGCTCTGGGTGGGGCAGAAAGGGAGGGTGCAACAGGTGGGTGATAATCCTGGACTAGCCTACAGGTTGGGGCAAACAACGCTGAGGCTGCTGCGGGGGGTCATGTGGAATGGGGCGGGGGAGGAGAGCCTGCGTTACCATATACGCCCAAGGGGGGCTGCCAGAAAGCCACCGTTCCCCCGCTGAAGCTGACCTTCCTTGCGGTGGAGTGGCCTGGTTTGCACAGTGCCCGTGTTCTCTGTGGAAAAGGTGCCCGGTGGCAGCTTGGCAGCCACTCCGAAGGGGAGGCTTTCCTTCCTACCTTTCAGGTTAGGGCTGGAGAACAGCCCAGCTCCTTCTGGGGAGATGAAAGCAACCCCAGGTTCTGGGTTTGGAGACGTGCCTGGGGGCCGGCGTGAGGCATGAGTAGAGAACTTGGTTTGGCTTCAGGTTCTAGCTGATCGCAGGCAGGAAGTGAGCCAGTAGCAGGGTGTACTTGACAGGCGACCTAGCCTTAAACGATTAACCCAAACATAACATCCGGATCACGAGAAGGATGTTCCCGACGGATTGGAGGAACAATGGCTGGCCCTGAAGGCCTCATTTTAAAAGCTATGTTGAGAAGCGGGTTTATGTTCCGAACCCAGGTCCGTCCATCCATCGTTCCTCCCTCCCTCCCTTTCCATCCATATCTATCATGTACAGTGGGGCAAAAAAGTATTTAGTCAGCCACCAATTGTGCAAGTTCTCCCACTGAAAAAGATGAGAGAGGCCTGTAATTTTCATCAT